AGGACTGAAGAGTTCTGGATCCATTTCACATGGCAGGGCAGCTGCCCCGTCCACCCTGGTTGAAGACTATAGGTTTATCCTCTGGGTTAGGACAGGGTATGGCATCTGAACTGAGGATGCCTGACACAGCTTACAGCAGGGGTCTATGCAGAAAAGGAATATGAAGTGAAACTTTGATACAGTGAGTGATGAGATCCCTGGCCCTTTGCCCCATTTGCTCTCCAGAGCACTGAGAGCCAGGCTTGCATTCCCCAGCAAGAAGCTTGAAAGGTTCTTCCTGGGAGTATCTGATCAGCCCAAGACAGAAAACCTAAATAGGTACGATTATTGGGACCTCCCCAGTAAAACAATACCCCTGAGGTGAGACCCAGCATAGACAAGTCCCAGCTGGGCACAGAGAATTCTGAACTAGCTTTACAACCCTGCTTTTTGACACAGATAGACAGGCAAGACATGTCAGGCATCTAAGAAAAGCCATTAACATGAAATACTGAAACCTAACAGAAAAAATAAAGCAACTTGGGATAAACAGAGCGATATAGTGAGATGAAAATATATATGTATTATGAATATCAAAAAAGGCCTAAAGTTAAAAGAAGATACTGCATTCATGGAAGGACAGCATCAAGAGGATGATATATAACAAAAAAGAGCTCTTGGAGTAGGAAAAAAATGGGTGATCAAAAATTTAAAACTCAATACAAAAATCAAATGATAAATCTGATAAAATCTCACAAAAAATAGAGCAAAAGAACAGAGATGAAAAATACAAGCTACAAAAATTAGAGGATCACTCCAGGAAAGCCAGCAAGAGGAGAAAAAAAAAAAATCCAAGGAAGTTTCACAAAACTACAGGTGATGAGTTTTCCAACTGAAAGGGCCTAGCACATTGGCGATGAGAACAGTCACACACCAAAGGGTGCTGTGGGATTTCGGAAGACTGCCATTTCAAGATAGGATTAAAAACAAACAACCCACCCACCACAACAAAAATCACCACCATCACAAATACCAGATCAGATACCAATTGTTCAGGATCAAAATAACACGGCTCCTCTGGAAAGCAAAAACTGGACACTTAGAGGCAAATGAGAGATGCTTTCAAAACTCTGAGGGGAAATTATTTCCAACCTAGAACTCTACACCACCTGGACCAGCAATCACGAGTTTGATAAGCAAAGTGCCAAAAACTGACCTCCAATGCACCCTGGGGTACAGTAAGAAAGAGGAAGACCTGGAAGCCAGCAGGGATCCTATGGGAAGAGAAGGGACAGGACGCCCAGCATATACTTGAGGGGCTCGGGGGTGACAGCCACACAGCAGCCAGGGCAGCAACCAGTCCAGATCGCAGATCGGAAGCCCTGGGGGACAGGTCGCTGAGAAGATGAACTGTTAGAACTGTAGAGCATACCTGTTTAAAATTATTAACAGGAGATTTACACAAATAAAAGGGGATTCTGGAGAATGAAGTGACAAGGATGCAGCAAACTAAGTAAATGACAAACTATGACAATAGCTCTCAGGAAAAGAGTTGAACAAGACAAAGAAGTAATCATAATATGTGACATGACAGCTATGAATGGTGTTTACAAAGGCAAAATACTGTGAACTCAGGGATCTACTCCAGTTATGCCACGAGAATAGGCAGGGAAGGTACCGGGACGCCGGGAGGAGGAGGGAAGCGGCTAATTCCTCATGTCCCCATGCGGGAAGCCAAAAAATGACACCCCACACTGTAAATTCAAGTAGTAGCCATATTAGCACATTATTTAGAAGGATGGAATTAAAAAACAAAAAAGCTATGTAATTGAAAGTAAAGAAAACTAGAGAGAGAAGTTAGAGGGAATTGGGAAAGGAGTGAAAGAAGTCACCGCTGGTTTCATCATGTGCCTTATAAAACTATTCAACCCTTTTAAAGTTGTTCATATACAACACTGATAAAAAATAAAAACTAAGAAAGCAAGAGATAAGGAATAGGATTCAATATTCACTTCTGTATCCTTTATAATATTATTAGAAAAATATGGCTGCCTGTATTTTATAGCACAGATACTGCCCTTCTTTTTAAATGACAATTTCAAGATTTTCTTTTGTTGAAAACACAGTTAATGCCGAAAAAAAAAACTTTCACTTCAGATCATTTGTTCCTACCTAGACACTGGCCAGACACATTATATAAAAAGGCTAATTTGTGAATAGTTATTTGCAAAGTCAGCTACCAGACTCTCTTAAGCAGGTAGCCTTTCTTATTTTTTAAGTTTTACTTATTCATAACCCAACTTTTCCCTCAAAGCAAAGCAGCTATCTTTTCTTACATCACAATTTTCTTTTCAAAATACAAAGTTACTGTGAGTTAGAGCATTAGAGTGTTAATTAGAACAGACTTACCAGAATAGCTACAGAGACCGTTCTTTGAAAAAAGGAAAAAAAGGAAGTGGTAGAAGTAACCTAATTTGTTTTTGGTTTCTTAATATTTAGCTTGAATCTAATACCAAGATTTGTATTCCTTTACGTCTTCCATGCAAACTAAAAAGCCAAAGAAATAAGCATAACAATCATAATCCACAAAAACAGGCTTTTTCTTTGTTATTAAGTAGTTTTTACTAAAAAATCAAATTAATGTCTGAATGTAGCCACTTCAAAATGGTAAGGTTCTGTGACCCAAGTATTACCATAAAGTTACCCAATTATAATTTTGTCTTTCATGAACTATGATTTAGGAAAGGCAAAACTATGAATTTTGATAAAAACAATAATGTTGGTATTATCCATTTTCACTGGCATCCACTCTCACCTTCCAACTAATTTACTCCTAACATGTCCTTGAAATTCTCTCAAGATAGTAGTTTGAAGAAACTCAATTTGTTATTTCAAAAAATGGTAAAAATAGTGTGAAGCATATTTATTCGGTTATTAAAATACAGCATTGCAAACTGCCATCAGAGAGCCCAAATTCACCCAGAAGCCACTAAGTCCAGAAAATTCCTCTGATTCTGAAGGATGCTGATACAGTGGCCAAACCTCCAAAGCATCGGAGCCTTAAAATTAAAAGGCCCTTCTGACTGAAGTACCTCAGTTTTCCAAAACAAGTTCTGTTATTGTTGTTTTGTTGTTGGAACTGACTAATCCTCAAGTGGGTTCCAAGCATCCTGCAGTTTAATTTAAAAGTATAACCATCCTGGAACTGGAAGTGGCCTTAAACACCATGTAGTCCAATCTCACTTTCCTTGTAGATGCAACTCAATGGCACAGAGAAGTTAACTCCGCTGACAGAAGACTCCTGGTTAATAATTCAGAGTCTCCTGGAACCCACTCTCGTGCTCTCTCTGAAATACATGACCCAGTTTGTAAAACCAGTTCAATTACTATGTGATACATTTAGCAACCAGTATGAAAATGCATGTGTTTTTATTAGGTAGCTTTTTTTTTTTTAATCTTTGGACTCACACATAAGGAGATCTCTACCTTCCTGTAAAACTGAACTAGAATTCTCTTTATTGTTTAAAAGACAAAAACTGTCACAACTGCTACTGAGACCAGAAAAGTACTTCCAGTTTATCTTCCCAAACCAGGTTAGTAACTTGTTTGGTGCATACCAAGCGGTACCCATGGTCAGACAGTGGATGTGACTACCAGTTTCTCTGGTCCTACTAGATCAAGAAGGGCAAAAAGTTGAGGGGGTGGGTGGGTAGGTGGGGAGCTGTTATATCAGTTAAGACTTGAAAATCCATCAATAGACCCTATCCACTGCCTGAAATCCCTGGTACTTTTCCTTATCTATGCTCTAGAAAGCAGTTCATTAGATGGCTATAGTATTGGAACACCAAAGAACTTCTGTGAGTTTTAGATAGCACTTAAATGAAGATGTTTATGTTCTCATCTTACTTCTTAAAAGAAAATACAAGGACAAAGATAATCAGAAAGTTTAGGAAGGACATAATAATTAGTGGATAAAGCCAAAATAAGGAATTTGTTCATCTGGCACAGACCTGCTTAAACCTGACAAGATCAGTTTAAGGAGGTGGTAATGCTGAGTCACAAATTTATTCAGAGATTTTGGTTACCGGTTGATTTCATTAGGAATGTGTTTGGTTGCAAGGAATAGAAAACTCACTCAGTGGTGCTTTAAACCAAGGGTCAGCAAACATTAAAGGCCAGAGAGTAAATGTGTTAGGCTTGCTGTACGTCAAATAGTCTCTGTTGAAACTATTTAATTCCATCACTATGGCACGGACGTAGCCACAGACAGTATCTCACAAATGGATGTGGCTGTATTCCAATAACCCTTTATTTACAAAATGGGCAGCCAGCCCATGGGTCATAATTTTCCAACTACTGGTTTAATCAAAATGTCAACCCCTGGTTTAAACCAATAGGACTTAACTTAAAAAGAAAGTGCTTTCCCTCCAAGGTGGCAAGAAGAATACAGTAACTCCAGGTGTTACATCCATGCTTAAGGTTAGAGGAAAAGCAATAGGGGATGGAGGTGGAGGAAGTCTGAGTCAACCACATCTGTCCCTCTTCACAAGAAAGGGAAACTTCCTAAAGGGCCTCTAGCTGCTCCCTCCCCCATCCCCATCAATGGTCAGAACAAAGTAACATAGATGGGTGCAGCAGAGAAGTCAAAAGCGTCTCAGACAAATCACAGGTCACTGACTAGGCCTAAATGTATACCTGCCTCCAATAAAGCTAGAGTTCCTTTACCCAGAATAGTTAAATGGCTCCTGGGCATATGATTGACAGTGTTTGTTGCATTGTGCTTTATTTTTTATATTTTCTCTATTGATATAATCTTCTCCAAGAAAATGAAATGTGCTTTCTTAGCTTGAATTAATTAGTCAAATGGAGATTGAGAAAACAAACATATTTGATGGGGCTGGGGTGGGTAACCAAGAAAGAGAGTGAATCGACCTCCTGCTCCCTAAAAGTCCTGATGCAATGAGAAAACGGGAACCGCAGTCCTGGAAGCCCGGCTTCATGACCTGAACAAAAACACTTACCCTGTCCATGCCTCTGTTTCTCCAACTGGAAAGATGAGATCATTCAAGATGATGTTCTCTAAGGTCTGACATCCTCAAGCTCTGATGTCCTGTGATCCCTTTAAGTATGTTGTTCACTCAAGCAAATATAGCATAAGGTAGAGAGTCAAAATTTCATTCTGAAAATAATAAAGCCCAATCACAAATGTGGAGGATTCCCAGAAAGTCAAGTCCTAAACTAAAGGAGAAAGAGGGTTTTATTCAAGTAACTTTCACACATTGCTAAAAGGCTGGCATTCCATTCAACCCTTCCAATTTCCAAGAAAACACACGTGTAAGAAGGGTAGTTAACTTTTTTAAAACACTATAAATGTGTCTTGTAAAAATTATACTGTTTCTTACAACAAATTTAAAATAGTTCAAGTCCAAAATGATAAACTGTTCTATTCTGGCTAGACTCCTAACTGAGGATACCCCCTCCCCACCCAGAAACATCCTCCACTGCTATAACCCAGACTAAGCATTGCAAAAGATAAGGTGGTAGCAATTAGATGCTGCTCAAATGATCGTCCTTTTACCAATAAAATGGAAATTAAACCAAGCAAAAATTCTTGTAGTGCCTTAAGAAATATGCTTTGAAAGAGGAACCCAAATGAGTAACTCAGCAGTTTGAGCAAAAAATTTTAGCAATTTGAGAAACAAGGAGGAAGAGGCAGGAATGGATGGGAAGAGGGAGAAATTTTAGAGGAAAATTTTGTTCAGCAAACATGTTCCCATATTCTCTTGGGAAATTTTTTAGTTCTTATATCCATATAACAGAGATGATCAAATTCTTCCCAGTAAATTGGATAATTTATTTTTAAAAATATACCCCAACTAAGTGAATGCTCTAACAGTCAAATTAATACAGAAAATTACTTAAAGAGTTGGAAAAACGGGCAAAACTGAAAAATGTACTACTTTATTATACTGGAGAGAATGTAATTTGTTGACATGTCATTTACTTAAACACTAACTGCATTTTTGTCATAACTGGTAAAACACACTTATTACTAAATCTGAACACACGTATGAGTGAGAAACCTTTACAAAGAGCTCAAAAGAAGAGTCTATCAAATGATTACTGTATGGCAAGAGCAAAAGGAAGGAAGCAGAGGACAAGGAGAGAAGGAGAGAAGTGAGGAAGAAGGGGGTAGGAAGGAAAGGAGAGAAGGGAAAAACCACCACCAGGGAGATGCAGAGGCTACTGGAGGTTAGCAGGAAGCCTTCAGTCCACTGCACATTTAATAGAGAAGGCTTTATTTAGTAAGGGTATCACTTCGTGCCTGCCACAGGAGTAGATCAGCGATAGACTGCAAGTGAGAACTGTGCAAGGATTCTGCCCTGTAATAGCACAGGTGCAGTTCCCAATCCTGACATACCAAGGGGTTAGCAAGGGTTTCCCCAAATGCCCATTCTCAGACAGATGAAAGAACTTCCTTTGAAAAACTCTGGAGCTTTTCACCTCTGCAAAGCCTGTTTCCCTATACACTGTCTGCCATGGCCATTCTGGTGTATTAATCAACCCCCAGCCCCTTCACCATTTGTCATTTACACCAACATACAATAGGAAGACACATTTTCAGGCATGCCTCAGCATGTCCAGGATGGGATGGACACTCGCTAATCAAACTGCTTTGGACAAAATATGCAAAATACATGGCTTAACCCATTTATGAACAAAGATACATGAAGTTTAACCCAAAGGGTCCTAAACATTCCATGTGGGCACTTCCATCCTTCCTGCTTGATAACATCAGTGATTGAGAATTTAAGAGGGTTTGGGTCATATTTATCATATTTATTTATTTATTTTAAAGCCTCATGTCTCTCACTTTCCATGCAGGAATGGTGACTCTTGCATAGCATAGTAGCTGTGACCCCACATTGGAAGGAGGTATGATCAAAGGCAGCCTGGCCAGACTTGGGAAAACATTTCCACTGAGAATGGACATACTGCCTGTCAAAAGGTTATTCCCACTGCGTAGGGGCAGCAGATCACGTTACTCCAGAGTAACAACATGAAAGGGCAAAATCTGGCCATAGTCACCCACATACATGTTTTTCTTTCCAACAGGGGCAAATGGGAGACACCGACCTGAACAGAACATCCTTCTTATCACTTGAGGGTGGGTGGGGGTGGGGAGTGTGCCTTTCCCTAATCAATACAGCTCCCGAGCCGCAGCCACTGTTTAATTCCTTTTATATTTTTCTTTTCATTCAGAAACAGCTCATATTAGCAAGACTTTTCTGTCTTAAACTTTTTTTTTTTTTAAATCCAAGCAATCACAAGCTATATTCTGTGGAAGACAAAATAACTTTGGAGGCGTAAATCTTAATGTCAATGACAGGAAGGCTTTGGTGAACCATTACCATAAATCTGACAAACGCTAATTTGATGGGTGGCTGTATCTGTCTGCTGCACGGCCAGTCTAGACAGTCTATTGAGAAATCCTAAAACACAACTGTTTGTTCCCTGTAACACCATCTGGATATGGCAATAAGCGCCGACCCAGCGCCATTCACACATGGATCAAAGCACATGCTAATGCTATCATGAAGTCATACACATAGAAAATTCAATCTGAGAACTCGAAGTAATTTTCCTAAGTCTTCAGTGGAGAAACCCCAGACTTAGTGCGACTCAAGCTAAGTGCATGAAGGGGGGAGAGGGGGGAAAAAAGGAACCGAATATTTAATGAGCTTGGGCTTCCAGAGGAATGCTAGGCCACCCATTGTATTGGAAAAGGCTCATGTCACACTTCAGTTATGGTACCCGTCAGGGTGCCCCTTTACAAAAATTGATCTGAGGACCTTTATAATTACCTGTTTCGGCCTGGGAGTGGGGGTGGAGGTGGGGCACGGCGGATTCATGACAAGAAATAAAAGAAGGGATTCAAGGTGCAAATCTAACATTATGTTATATTGGTCTGAGCTGGCAGAAATTTTCAATATTGCACACAATATTAAAAACCTCTGTCATTAAACAGCACTGTGGCATTAGATCAAAGAATCAAGGGCCTCCTATTCAACTCCTTTAAATATTACAAACATAAGAGCAAGTCTGGCTGTGCATAAAATAGAAATAAGCCACTTTTTTTTTTTGTCCACTCTCATCCTATAGCTGGCCAGAGAGAAACATTGCTTAGAAAATCTCTATTGCAAGTCAAATGGGAAGAATCCTGACTTCTCCCAAGATACATAACAGGCAGAAATAAATTCAAGTCTTTATGAATTTGCTTTGACAGGAAATTTTTGGTCAATTATGTTACTCTTTCAGAACTTTAAGCTACTTCTTCAAAATGTATCACTCAACAACACTACTTCAATTACACCCCATATAGGCACTGTTTAACCCTTCCGCCTGTGAGCCACACTGCCCTACCCCGGCTACTGTAAGAACCTGATCTGTTTGCTTCTTGGCTGATGGACGAACATGACTAGAACTACATTATGAAACTGTCATTTGTACACTCATCCCTGTGGTCTGGGAAACACTAAATACGTTATGCCCCCTATTTTCATATTCTCCAGTATTGGTTACACAAAAATTCCAACCAACATTATTTTTCAGCAGTTACAATAGTTTCTATATCATATGTGTATGAGGGGTGTGTGTGTGTGTGTGTGTGTGTGTGTGTGTGTCTATGTTTCTTTAAAATGTACCTTTAAAATGTATTAATATATCTTGAAAATGGATTAATCATGTTATGGGGTTAAAAATATAATAAAACCTCTCAGGAACAACATGCCATCACAAGGTGCTTCAGCTATCACAGGGGGTGGCTTAGAGTGCAAGTCTGTATTTTACTTAAGCTCACTGGTACATCCATGCTAGCAAAGCATAAAATGCTGCCTGAAATAGAACCCTCATACTCAGCAGCACACAGATGTTTTCTCTCTACCTGCTAAAGCCTTTAAACATAATAGAGCATAAAACATTACATTCCACTTTTCAAAGTGTCTTGAAGTTAAAAAAAAAAAAAAAAAAAGTCTATAATCAGTCATTTTACAATTTAGATACAAACTCAGTAAAAAAAAAAAAAAAAGTTATGCCATAGTTCTCTTAAAGTTCAGTTCAATTTGAAACAGACTGCTCCCAAAATATTTCACAAAACATAGTTATTGTCTTCTCAAATGGAATATTAGTGCCATGATGCTTTTGTTTCTTAAAAACAGAAAAGAAAAACTACCAATTTCTCCCTCCCATAGTAAAAGAAATCTTCCCTAAAAATCTTAAAATTTAAAAAGTTCAGGGACTATATTAACTGCCAACCAATTGTGCAAGTTTCCATTTAAATGATGATCCTCAATTGTTATTTTAGTCAACCTAAAATAGAGTTAATTATTACAACATAATCTGGATCACAAAGAGAAAGAAGAGAACAGCCTATTTTTCTGCACTGTATGTTTCAGTTAGGGACCTGCAAAAACTTAGTATAAGAAGGTAACCTACTCTCCCCCAAAGATAGCCTTATTCCTTCACTTTCCAAATAAATAAAAAACATGAAGATATTAGCATTTTGGCTTTTTAATTAGTTAATATACACTAAGATATCTTAGCAGGATTAAAAAGTATTTCATTTGCAATGCATATGGGCAGACCCACTGGAATAAAAAGAAATAAGCAATCGTACAACTGCACATCTCAGATGATGTGCCATAGTGATCAGATGTTACCCTAGACAGAATTAAAATTAGAAGGGAAAAATTAAAATTAGAAGACAAAAGAGGTGAGAAATTATAATCATTCTTGCCAACCATCTTACACATTTATATACACTTTTTACAAACATAGTTAAAAACTATATGCTATCCCCCATGTTGGACTGACTAAATTACAAGTGATAATCATGTTGTCTACCAGTAATGGCTTTCTTTCAGACTGTGGCTATAATTCCGTAAGTTTAAAATGGAAAAAAAAAAATCACCCAAACATTGCTTAATGTAGCTAATCAAGCATTTTCAAAATTAAACTGGGGATGAAATGTTAGTCACTATTTGATGGGATTTTAAAATGTTGTAGTGGAACAGTACTGCCATCTACTGACAACTGCTTAACAGTGCCCGTGGAGCACCCATCCTGTTACAGCCAACCAGAGTAAAACTTTAGAGACCTTAGCGCAGGGAACCAAAAGAA